CTTTTTCAAGATATTGTTAGCCATTCGAGAGGTTGGACTTTGATTTTTAACGGTCTCAAAGGTCGATGTCTTCAAAATGACAAATTTCTATATGTATGAAGGAATTTTTCTATTTTTTGCTAAGGATATAATCAGCGCTGCCATCCTGTCACTTAAATCACTTTTTGGCAATTTTATTTTGAAATCACTTTTTGTCACTTTTTTTTGAAAAGTCACTATTATCCAAAATAGGTCAGCATAATCACTTTTTTTTTGTTATATTGACATGAAACTTGTAAATCATAAAAGTTTCTTTTCACATTTTTGTCTAATAATTATAATAATTTTACTTGCTTACTGATCTAATGTCATAGGCCCTGCGTACAATAAAGAAAATATTAGAAATAAATATTAAATAGAGAAAATGTTAAAAATAAATATTATTAGAAATCGAGATTATTTTAAAATAATAAAATCGAAAAAACTCTGAACTCATACTAGCTCTTTATACCCAAATTTGTATTTCAGATTTTTTATTTTATTATTTTAAAATTATTTCTATTTTTAATATTAATATTTAATATTTATTTTTAATATTCTCCAGTATGCGTAAGGTCTTATTTAGTATCCGATTATTTTGCATTGCGAATCGAATATTAGTTGAGTGGCGCGGCTTCTAACATGCTGCTAGAAATAAAAGCACGCAAAGAAGAAAACATTGTTAAACAAATTTTTTATTTTTTATTTTAGATCGTTTTATTTAGATAATAATATTTAAATTTAAATTTTACTTAGTCATAAAGTTTTTATTTTATTATATTTAATAAAGTGCATTATTTGATTAAATAAAATATAGAAATATTATTATTTAAACTCCTGCTTATTCTTTTTTCTATTATAAATTTTCAAACTGTCATGATGTGAAAAACATTTTTTATATATTAGGCTATCCAAACATAGATCTATATTTTTTGTTGTTGTTTAATAGCTTTAATTAGTTTGAAAATTTTATACAAAATCACATTTAGTTACTATTTTGGTTACTATTTTAATACCAAAAAGTTACGTTTACTTTTAGTTAAGTTTACTTTTTGTCACTTTTTTTGTTACAAAGCAGTCACTATTTCACTTTTTTTGATTTGATAACTGGATGGCAGCACTGGATATAATAGAAAATATACAAACACAATCTAAGAATATAAAATAAAAAAGATATAGATCTTTCTTTTTTAATACACAAGAATCAAGATTTGAAAGAGAGAGATTTGAGAAAATTGAAGCCAAAGTGCAATGAAGTGAAAAAATATCAGACGGACACTCGCGTGAATTTACAGAGATATTGGAATCGATGAACCAGCAGCATCTCTGGGATTGGTAATACGTTGGTCTCCAATGATTACACGGAGGATATCGTATAACGATTCGATGATAATGCTTTGATAGGAAACTGTCGCACATGCGAAACATAAACGCGTATCATTATACAGGAATTGTATTTCATCGCAGGAAAAGTTTATTTGTTTATACAATTCCATACGATCTTTTCCGAGATATTCTAAAGCACTTTCCGTAATGAAAAATAAAGCAGCGTATCTTTATGATAGTTTAAAAGCAAAATAATCACGAATGTAAATCTTACGAGAAATAATTTATTTTGCGCCTCCCTCAGTCAGATAATACGTGCTTGCTTTTATCAAGAAGAATCGCGCGAAAGAGCTGAAACGAGAGCATGTCACGTGAAATATCCGTCACGAATCTACTGGGCGACTTAACAAAATCGATCGTGCCCGTATTATAGTACGGATTCCGTTAAAAATTTATGTATCCCTCTACCAAACGATTGTCCACGATAATGATTCAATTCTTGCTAATGATAACGCTGCCGTAAA